GTATTGCACATATGTTAAATACATTACAATGGAACTGGTATGTGAATGGGCCCTTACAAGTCTTGTCCCTACCCCAAGTCTGTGATTGGACAGTGAAAGGAGAAGCAGCAGACTGATGAGGTCATCTCTCTGTCACTCTGTCCTCTCCTTCTTCTGTATGGAGCGAGGGGTTAAAAAATGATCTGCCCAAGAGTTCCAGATATGTCAGGCACTACTGTGTCTTTAACAAGCTTTCGTGTAACTCTTCCCATCAGCTATTATCTCAGAAATGGTACATTTAGGCATTGTTTAAAGAAGAATTCCAGATATGGATATTCTATCATAGTTACATAGTTCCAAACTGGACCATCTTTTTATGCCATACCTGTGGGATCCCTCTAAATTGCTGTATTAGACATCACAAGTGCACCACTACTACACCTCAACTAAATGGATCCTCACTAGCTCCCAGGTCCTATACCGAGTGGCTGCCCTACTGCACTCTGAACACTGGAGGATGGCTGCTTGGCCCGAACACCATTCAGTGGTTGCTTTACATTCTCTCAATAAATGCAAAGCATTCTCTGCTTGGACAAGGTGGAGAGTGTGACATCACTGCCCCACCTCCCCACTGTGTCCAATCAGAAAACGCTTTTATTCATTGAGAAAATGTCCAGTTACACAAAATAGAACCGTATTGAAATTAAAGTTCAGGAATACACAACAAGTCCATCAGGAAGGCAACCCGACAAGGCACAATAACAGGATGCAACAGCTATGAGCCATAGCAGTAGGTCTCAGGCGTGCCAACAGCGTCTGTCTCCAGGGACAGCATGTGGCCTGGATGGGCCATACCAAAGCGGGGAGGTTTCCAGTAAAGATGGTGTGTCCTTGCACATTTCCTACTCGTCTGTAAACTCTGGGATATCCTGTCCAGACACTGGCTACACATGAAAATGCATGTCAAGCCTGGGAGCCAGGGTCTTAAATAGACTCTGCCTGATCAAAGATGGCTGCCAGAGTCACATGAGACTTCAGCATGCAATAGAAAAGCTGCCCCCTGTAACCCAGGAAACCATAGAGGATCTGATTTCCTCTTGACTTCCTCTCCCTCTGCCAGGGGCGGACTGACCATTTGGAAACTTGGGCACTGCCTGAGGACCAGGGGGTCAGTAGGGGGCCCCATAAGATGCCCCTGGTACCTTTTCCATAGGCTTTTTTGAGTTTGGGCAAGGACACAGGGGCCCCATGATCCCCTATTGCCGGGGGCCCCATGAGTTGTCAGTCCGCCCCTGCCATCTGCAATGCTGCTACAGTTGAGCGCCACCTGCAGTGGAGACAGTAGACTACACCTGCTCAGGGGTGGACTGACAACTCATGGGGCCCCCGGGCAATAGGGGATCATGGGGCCCCTGTGTCCTCACCCCACACTCAAACCACCCCCACAAAAAGCCTATGAAAGGTACTAGGGGCATCTCATGGGGCCCCCTACTGACCCTGGGCCCTCCAGCAGTACCCGAATGGTCAGTCTGCCCCTGCACCTGCTTACTTGTGTAGCAGTAGCGATGTAGTGTCAGAGCCTATTACAGTGATTTCCATCTTCTAGACCACGGGTGTCAAACTGGCGGCCCTCCAGCTGTTGCCAAACTACAAGTCCCATGAGGCATTGCAAGACTGACAGTTACAAGCATGGCTCCCAAAGGCAGAGGCATGATGGGTCTTGTAGTTTTGCAACAGCTGGAGGGCCATCAGTTTGACACCCCTGTTCTAGAGGGATCCCACAGGCATGGTGTATAGTACATTGGTATATTGATCCAAGCTGTCACAATGTAACGATGTATAATATATCCATACCTGGAATGCTCCTTTAATTATAAAGGACGAGGCGAACATATTGAAAGGCGCACCGATGTACACTTTGTTTGCTCGCCGTGTAGGCGGACTGGTGTAGATTGCTGTAAGTATACATCAGGTAATGACAGATCGCGTACATCGCTGCAGACGTCTTTTCAACAGTCTCTTGTTACAGACGCGTCTGCCTTGCGCAATCAGCATCGGTAATTACAGAGCGGGGATACGTCGCGAAGCTTCACGAAGCCCCCCGTTGGGGACGTTCACTTGCATGGGGAGCAGGTTTAAGTCAACCCGCATTTTAGAAAAATGTTGAAGACATATTATTGGATTTTTCCAGACAAAATTTAAAACGCTTAACGATGGAAGGATCAGCGGCGAAAGACCACAAAACTCTGCAGCATAAACATTGGAGGTCATTAGGAGTTATTGTAAGACACAGAACATTCATTGTTACCTCCGGGTTCTGAAAGGGAGGAGAAGAAGGATTGATTGGACGTGAGGTTCTTATTCATACCTTCCTCCTCCCGCTCCTGTCTATGTGGGCACTTCGTGAAGACTGGAGACACCGGGATCTCTATGGAGCGGCCTGTGGCATCCATTAGTCATTCTTTAAAGTGGATGTCAACCCAAAATCCATTTTCGGTAACTTCAGTATCATAACTCACTGTATACAGTATATTAGGCAAATTATTTTATTGTAGAAGTGTTACAAAGTGTCTTCTCTGGTGGTCAGGGCTGGATCTAGCCTGTCCGATGTAGGGGTGCAGTAAAAAATGTGAGGGGGGCAGAGGATGGGAGATCAGCAGGGCAAAGGACAGGGGTCTCTGCTAGCAGGTTAGAGTACAGGGGTCACTGCTGACAGGCCAGAGGACAAGGGTCTCTGCTGGAAGGTCAGAGGACAGGGGTCACTGCTGGCAGGCCAGAAGACAGGGGTCACTGCTGGCAGGCCAGAAGACAGGGGTCACTGCTGACAGGGCAGAGGACAGGGGTCACTGCTGACAGGGCAGAGGACAAGGGTCTCTGCTGGAAGGTCAGAGGACAGGGGTCACTGCTGGCAGGGCAGAGGACAGGGATCTCTGCTGGCAGGGCAGAGTACAGGGGTCACTGCTAGCAGGGCAAAGGACAGGGCTCACTGCTGGCAGGTTAGGGGACAGGGATCTCTGCTGGAAGGTCAGAGGACAGGGGTCACTGCTGGCAGGGTAGAGCACAGGGGTCACTGCAGGATGGGCAGAGGACAGGGGTCACTGCAGGATGGGCAGAGGACAGGGGTCACTGCTGGCAGGGCAGAGGACAGGGGTCACTGCTAGTAGGGCAAAGGAAAGGGGTCATTGCTGGCAGGGATGTAAGGGGGGATTCTTCTGGGCAGTCCTGGATGTAAGAGGGGATTCTGCTGGGCACTCCTGGATGTAAGAGGGGGATTCTGCTGGGCACTCCTGGATGTAAGGGGGGATTCTGCTGGGCACTCCTGGATGTAAGGGGGGATTCTGCTGGGCACTCTTGGATGTAAGGGGGGGATTCTGCTGGGCACTCCTGGATGTAAGGGGGGGATTCTGCTGGGCACTCCTGGATGTAAGAGGGGGATTCTGCTGGGCACTCCTGGATGTAAGGGGGGATTCTGCTGGGCACTCCTGGATGTAAGGGGGGATTCTGCTGGGCACTCTTGGATGTAAGGGGGGGGATTCTGCTGGGCACTCCTGGATGTAAGAGGGGGATTCTGCTGGGCACTCCTGGATGTAAGGGGGGATTCTGCTGGGCACTCCTGGATGTAAGGGGGGATTCTGCTGGGCACTCTTGGATGTAAGGGGGGGATTCTGCTGGGCACTCCTGGATGTAAGGGGGGATTCTGCTGGGCACTCTTGGATGTAAGGGGGGGATTCTGCTGGACACTGCCGGATGTAAGGTGGGATTTTGCGGGGCACTCCTGGATGTACGGGGGGATTTTATGGGGCACTCCTGGATGTAAGGAGGGATTTTGAGGGGCACTCCCAGATGTACGAGGTGGACATATGAATTAATTTACATTTTATGCATTCATTATAAAACCTTTTTTTTCACCCTGCAAATATTGAAAAATACATGAAAACCCAGGGCACGGTCAGACAAGGTTTTGGTGACACCTCGTTGCTTCTGCTGTTCCTACAAGAGGTCACCTGACATCACTTTGGCACGCCGAGCCGGTGTTTTCGCATTAACGCAGGCCGCTCGCACTCCATAACGCAGCCGCCACTTCTGGTGGGCAGCCACCTCCCCCCCCCCCCCTTCCCTGTGCGCTCCCTACAGAGCATCTGCTAAAAAAATCAGCGGCAGGTTTTGTTATGTGTCTGCCGTGGTCCAAGCCAAGAGCAATCCCTCTTTATTGTACCTAAGTGGTGAAATAACCAGGAGAGCAGCGACACTCTCATCTCATTCCATCCATAGAGAGCCTCATTTAAAGGGCGACTCCTGCCAAACAGGTGGAGTGCCACTAGATCCCTTAGAGGTAGACAACGCTCAAGAGGAGAGTATCGTAGTCGGAGTTGGATTGTTATTTTCAACAGATGTTGGGGATAGTTTTATTTCGCTGGAGTTAGTCTTAAAAGTACAACTGCAACATTATTTTTTTAAATGTTTTTATAATGTTTTGTTTTGTAGATGGGACTAGAACCTCGCTCAGGTTTACTGCTCGCTATGTCCACGTTGGAGAGATTCCCCTTCATTTCATGTCTCCATGACACCCTCTTCCATGTCACTAAGATTCTGGGGGACTCTCCTGGGATTTAACACCTGTAGCGCCTACCCTGAGAACATGCCCAGGTCTCCCTTGTTAGTGCAAAGGCCGCCAGTCCCAAGCACAGTCCCATGCACACCGACAATAATGGCTCATTCCAGGGCAGCTTTCCCCAACCTTATCAACACAGAGGAAGCCTTGAAATAGCTTTCCAGTGTCAGGGAACCCCTGCCAAACATTACTACTGTTCATCTACAACTCATGATACATTCGTGTGATGGGCAGTGGGAAGAATGTCCCTTACATTGGGGTCAGTGGGAAGAATGTCCCTTACATTGGTGATCAGTGGGAAGAATGTCCCTTACATTGGTGATCAGTGGGAAGAATGTCCCTTACATTGGGGGTCAGTGGGAAGAATGTCCCTTACATTGGGGGTCAGTGGGAAGAATGTCCCTTACATTGGTGGTCAGTGGGAAGAATGTCCCTTACATTGGTGATCAGTGGGAAGAATGTCCCTTACATTGGTGATCAGTGGGAAGAATGTCCCTTACATTGGGGGTCAGTGGGAAGAATGTCCCTTACATTGGTGGTCAGTGGGAAGAATGTCCCTTACATTGGGGGTCAGTGGGAAGAATGTCCCTTACATTGGGGGTCAGTGGGAAGAATGTCCCTTACATGGGGGTCAGTGGGAAGAATGTTCCTTACATTGGTGGTCAGTGGGAAGAATGTCCCTTACATTGGGGGTCAGTGAAAAGAATGTCCCTTACATTGGTGGTCAGTGGGAAGAATGTCCCTTACATTGGGGGTCAGATGGAAGAATGCTCCTTACATTGGTGGTCAGTGGGAAGAATGTCCCTTACATTGGTGATCAGTGGGAAGAATGTCCCTTACATTGGTGGTCAGTGGGAAGAATGTCCCTTACATTGGTGATCAGTGGGAAGAATGTCCCTTACATTGGTGGTCAGTGGGAAGAATGTCCCTTACATTGGTGGTCAGTGGGAGAAGGAGGAGGACACACTGAAGGAGCTCTCCCTGAGAACCAGCATTTTCAAGCCTGGGCCTTGCCTGCTAGCTTGGCCCAGGAACCATGCCTGATCCAGGGGGAGGCCCTGGGAGGGATTCCCCTGATGAGACTGGGCCTAGTGAAGAGGAGGAGGTGGAGGACCTGACTGTGGGTCCCAGCCCTGGTGAGGATGTCGGTGTCTTCAGACAGAAGATTACTGATAGATTGGTGACTATTGGAAGAGCTGAGGAGAAACTTAATGTTTTAAAATCTGAACACAAATCCTTCAGAGCCAAATACTGCCAGGCCTGGAGTAAGAACAGATTGGGCATGAAGCCAGCGCTCCAGCACATGGAGGATAAAGTAAAGAGACAATCTTTATTATTAGAAAAGTTGAAAGCAAGAAGTGGAGCGTTTAAAGAAAAATTTGATAATGAGAGGAGATTTGCCAGCCAGACATCAGCGAGCTCTGTGGATCAGCAGCCTCAGGTAATGGATGACCCGGCACCATCTACATCAGCGTCTCTCCCCCCATGTCAGGCTGAGGAGTTGTCAGTAGCAACCAGCCAGGGGGTTGAGGGTGAATATGGAACCTTGAAGTTCATCCAGCACATGGAGTCTCCCCTGAGAGCAGACAAGTTTGCCTTCACTGATGACCCTGCAGAAGTCCCTGAGGATGGACAGAGGAGGTTCAGAGCAGCAAAGCCAAGACTGGTGGAGAGATCCCAGTATACCAAGATGGCTGCTCCCAGCATGTCTGCCCCACCAGGTCTCCCTTGTTAGTGCAAAGGCCGCCAGTCCCAAGCACAGTCCCATGCACACCGACAATAATGGCTCATTCCAGGGCAGCTTTCCCCAACCTTATCAACACAGAGGAAGCCTTGAAATAGCTTTCCAGTGTCAGGGAACCCCTGCCAAACATTACTACTGTTCATCTACAACTCATGATACATTCACATTGGGTCAGTGGGAAAATGTCCCTTACATTGGGGGTCAGGGGAAAAAATTCCCTTACTTTGGGGGGTCATAAAAATTTTTTTTGGGGGGGGGAAGAATCCCTTAAATTGGGTCAGTGGGGAAGTTTTTTAAAGGGGTTTGGGGGAAAAAAATTTTTTTTGGGGGGTCATGAAAAAATGTCCCTTTTTGGGGTAGTGGGAAAACCCTTACATTGGGGGCGGGAAGAATGTCCTTACTTTGGTGGGTGGGAACCCTTCTTGGGTCAGGGGGAAGGTTTCTTTGGGGGTTTCTTTTTGGGGAAAATGAAAAAATGGGAAAAGGGTTTTTTGGGGAAAAGTTTCTTGGTGACGTGGGAAGGTCCCTTACTTTGGTGGTCAGTGGAAAAGTCCCTTACTTTGGGGGGCAGGAAAATGCCCCTTTAAATTTGGGGGTTCAGGGAAGAAGCCCCTTACTTTGGGGGTCTGGAAAAATTTCCCCTTTACATTGTGTCAGGGGGAAAATGTCCCTTACAGGGGGGTCAGGGGGAAAATTTCCTTACATTGGGTCATGGGAAAAATTCCCTTACATTGGGATCAGTGGAAATGTCCCTTACAGGGGGGTCGGGGGAAAATGCCCTTACTTTGGTGATCATAAAAACCCTTACATTGGTGTTTTTGGGAAGAATGTCCCTTACATTGGGGTCGGGGAAAAGCCCTTCATTGGTGACAGTGGGAAAATGTCCCTTTTTGGGGTTAGGGAAAATTTTTAATGGTTGATCGGGGGAAAAATTTTAAAGGGGGTTTTAAAAGGGGGTTTATAAAAATTTAAAACCCTTTTTTTTTGGGGTCAGGGGGAAAATGGTCCCTTACATTGGGTCTTGGAAAATTCCCTTACATTGGTGATCAAAAGGGGCCCCCAAGGGGTCATGAAAAGCCCTTACATTTGGTTAAGGGAAAGGGGGAGGAAAAAGCCCCCCCCCGGCCTTTTTAAGGGGGCCTTCCTGTGCTTGGAGGAAACCCTGGGGGGCCCGGGGAGCCCCCCATAAAGGGGCCTGGGGAAAGGGGGGGAGGACCTGCTGTGGGTCCCCCCCCGGGGGCCCCTTTTAGAAAAGGGTTATGAAAGGGACTTTGGGAAAATTTGAAAAAATCTAAAAAAAATTTTAAAAATTTGGGGGCCCCTGGGAAAAAAAAATAACCACCTCCCCAGAAAAAAAAGAACTTTTTTTTTAAAAAAAGTTTGGCGGGGGCCCGTTAAAAAAAAATTTTGAAAAGAGGGGGTTTAAAAAAAGGGGGAAACAGAGTGGAAGGTAAAAAATTTTAATAGGGTTTCCCCCTTCAGCGGGGGTTTTAAAACCAGCCGGGGTTAAGGTAAAAGGCCCTTTAAAAACCCCCCCCCCAAACCCCCCCGGGGAAAAAAATTTTTTTGCCCCTGAGAACCCCTGAGTTAAAAGGGATTTAAAACGAAACCCAACGTGGGGAAAAAAAGGCCCCCCAAAGTCCCCCCAGTTGGGGACAAACCTAGGAAGGGGGGGGCCCCTGGGGGGTCCTCCCCTGGGAAAAACCCTGCAAAAGGCCCCCGCCACGGGGGTGGGGGAACCTCACCAAAAAAGAGGAAAATTCCCTTTTTCCCCAACCCAGAGTTTAACCAAAGGCCCACCTAGGAATGTTTCCCTGGTCCCCCCAAGCTAAAAGGGGGGGGGGGGGGAAACACTGCCCATTGGGAGCCAGCCCAGGAGCTATTGGGTGGGAACCAACCACCGGGGCAACCTTTTTGGAAAAAGGGGACATGGATTCTTTTGGCGGATAAATTTTTCTGTAAACCCTGTTTTAAAAAGGGTTTTTTTTTAAAAAGAAATGAGTGGGGGGGTTGGGGTGAATTTAAACTGTAAACGGGTAAAAAAAATTTTTTTGGGGAAAAAGGGTACCCACCAAAATTTTAAACCCGGTACGAAGTTCACCAAATCCCAGACTAAAAATTTTCTGCTGGGAAAGGGGGGACCCCCCGTTTTGGGGCCCCAAAGGGGGGGGGTTTTTTGGGGGGAAAAGGAAGGGGGGGGTTTTGGGGGGGATGGGGGGGGTTTGGGGAAAAAATTTGGGTAAAGGGGGGGGGGGGGAAACCTTAAGGGGGAGGGGGGAGGACAAATTTTTGGGGAGGGTTTTGGGTTGTTTCGGCGTAAAATTTTTTGGGTATTTGAAAACCAACCCCAATTTTTGGGGGAAAATTTGGGGGCGGACCTTTTTGGGGGTTTGGGGGAAAGGTTTTTCCAAAAGGGGGGTTGTAAAGGTGTCCGGCCTGAAAACCGGGCTTTTGGGGTTTTGACCCGACTTTTGGGGGTTAACCCCTCGGGGCCGGGAGTTTAAAAAAGGGGGGGTCAGTGCATTGGGGGGGAAAGGGTTAGTTTCCCTCCCCTTTTGGGGGGGGCTGTTTTTTCTTCAATCGCTAAATTTTCTGGGGAGAGAACCCCTTTTTGGTCCCCAAAATTTTAAAAAAAAAAAAAAATTTTGGGCCATTCAAAATCCCCGAGCGGTTTTTTGGCCACAGGGAAAACCTAAATTTTTCCCAAACCCCAAAACCCCAGGCGGAGGCAGTCAAACGGGAAAAGGGGATGGGAGCTGAGCAGGGGGAAATGTAGGCATTTGTGCTGGGGGTTTTTTTCCCCCTTTTTCCCCCGGTTTGCCCCCTGTTCCCCTTGTCCCAACCCTCGTCCCCCAAACCCGGGGGCGGGGGGGGGGGTTTTTCCCCCTTCCCCCCCCCCCCCCCCACAAATGGTCGGGTTTGGGGGGGGGGGCCGAGGGGGTGGACCGTGGGGAGGGGGGGCCTTTCCCAAATTTTCCTTGGGGGGTTTTGGGGGGAGGGTAAGGGAAAAAGGAAGGAAAGGGGGGGAAGGGGGGGGGGGGGAGAGAGGTCCCGTCCGGTCGGCGGTTACTTTCTTTTTTTTGGGGGGAAGGTTTTGATTCCCCTTTTCATCTCAAAGGGGGGGGGGAACAAAAAGGGGGGAAAAAGGGGTTTGGGTAAGTTAAAAAAATACCCCAATCCCAATACCCCCCCCTTTAAAGGGGTCCATTAAGTCCCCCCAAAATTGGCAAATGGGATCCCCTTTTTTTCCCAAATTTGTTTGTAAAAATTTTTTTTTGGGAAAGACCGGCCAAAATTGGGCCTTCACTGCAAAAAGGGGGGGGGAAGGGTCCCCCCTTTTTGTCTCTTGGGGCCTTGCACGGAGTTGGTTTTTTTAAAAAAAAATTATGGAAACGTCCCGGGGGGAATGGGGGGGGGGTTGGGGGAAAGGTTGTTAGGGGGGGATGGTGAAATTTGAAGTAAAAGGGGGGGGAAAATGTTAAAAGATAATTTTTTTAAAACCCCGGTGTTTTGGAGGTGTTAAAAAATGGAAAAAGGGAGGTTAAAGGTGGGTTTTGAAGGTTTTGTTAAAAATTTGGGTTAAAGGGGGGGTAGATGGACTTTAAGAGGGGAGAGGGTTTAATTTTTAAAAGGGGGAAATGTTGGGATGAATTTTTTTGGGGGGGTGGGGGGGGGGGTAAGGGGGGGGGTAAGGTTGGTGGAGGGGTGAGGGGGTAGGGATGGGATAGGGAGGGGGTGAGGGGTGGGGGGGGATGGGGTGGGGGAGGGGGGGAGGATGAAGGAGATGGGGGGATAAAAAAAATTTGTTATTAGGTGTGAGGGGGAGATTTACGCTGAATTTTACAAGTTTTTAAGTCCATCTGGGGCCCTTTTAGCGGGGGTTTTTAATAGCTTCCCAAAAGGGTTTGCTCCCCCCCTCCGAGGGAATCTGCTTTGATCTTTTGTCAAAAGTAAAAACCCCAATAAAAGAAACTGGGGCCCCATCAGTCTTCTCAATGTTTATAATCTTGGCAAAGATTATTTTTTTTGGGGCTTTTCTCAGTACAGCGATTTGTTGTCCAGCCCCACACTGTTTCCAAGGTAGAATACCTTTTCACGGTTTTTTGGGTATCCGGGGGCTTTTGGAACTGCAGGGGTGCCCGGATGGAGAAAGTACTTGCGGCATTGGATCAGGGAAAAGCTTTGATCGGTGAATCATGAATCTGTGTTCGCTTTAAAATGGCCTCAGGGGGGGTTTTTTAAAATTGGCTGAAGACATTAATAAAAAGGGGTGAGGCTTCCCACTTGTAATGGTTGGGGTTGGCGGCCCCTTTTTAGGTCGGCTCTGGGGTCGCCAGGGGTGTCCTTTGAGCCCCCGCTATATGCTTTCGCAATCGACCCCCTTTTAAGAAAGGGTGAGGGCGCATCGTTGTGCGGGGTGCCTCTGGGGATTGCGGGGTTTCCCCCTTTTTAAGGGCATTTCCTAACTGATGAGTGTCTGTTTATCTCTGGGCTGAGGAGGCCAGGAGGGGTCCTTGATAAGCATACACGGGGGCTTCTGGCCTAAAACAAACCCGAAAGAAGAAGTTTTTTTGGTGGGGTGGGGGGGGGTTGGGGGGGGGGGGGGAAATTTTTGGGGGGGGGGGGGAAAGCTTGGAATTCCAAAGCCAAAGTACAGCTGGAAGAGTGGAGGGGTTTCCTAAGAGAGAGGGTTGCTTGTCAAAACTTACCTGACCCGACTTTTATATTCAGCTTCGTCGTACTTGCCGGTAAACCTCATGCACGGGGCAAAAAGCTGTTTTTTTCCAACGTTAGGGGAAAACTGAACTTATCAAAAGCAATTAACTTTCCGTCCCGGGGGGAGGGGGCCCAGGGAAAGGCAACCCGATAGTTTTTTTTTCTTTTCCTTTTTAAAAAACAATCTTGGTAAATTTTAGCAAGACCCCGCCGGAGGGGGATTTTTCTCTTGGTTTAGGCCTTTTCTGCATTTCTGGAAAGGGGCCCAGAAAAGTCTGAGAGTCCGACATGGCAAGCTCCCGGGTTTTGTTCCCCGTGTCCCGAAAATACTTTGGCAGTGGCAGGTGACAGTGGAGTTCAGGGCCCCCCGGAACTTCTGGGGAGGATTTTTTGGGTTTTGCTTTCGGTTCACGGGGCCTTAAAGGGTTGCCCAGGGTCCGTAAAGAGGGAGGATTTGCGTTTAATTAAATTGGAGAAATCCCTTTGAATTTTTGGGATCAACCGGGCCGCTTTCCATGGGAAAGGGTCTAGTGAAGGGAACCCGAAGCAACCCCCCCCTGTGGATGATCGGGGGTTGTCCTAAGCAGAGTGTGTTGGTAAAGTGAGTCTATGGACCACTTTCTGCCCTGTGCCCTTTAACAAAGGTGATAAAAGGGGGGGGAGGGCTCGGGGATCCCCTTTTCTCTATCCCATGATTACGAGGGGGTACGGGCATTCCCCCGCCACTGGGGTTTGATTTGGATACACTTTTTCTGTTGTATAGTTGTCCCTTTCTTTCACGGAACCACGGGGTTTAATTACCATCCGGAAGAAAGTCCTCCCGTAGAGGTGGGGGTGCCGAATTCTGGGTGGGTGGAAATTCGGGGGCTTGAGAGGGGCAGAGAGCCTCGGGGGCTGGATAAGGGCGGGAGGGAATATCAACCTCCTTTGTGAACGTCCATCCTGGGGGGGCTCTTTCCTTATACTGTTCTTTCAACTCCCGTAGTTTTTGTTTATTAAGACTTTTTTGAAGAAGGGGTGCATCAAAGGGGGGGGGTGGGTTTCTTGCCTCACCGGTTTTATGCGGTGAGTGTTGATGGTAGTACATTATTCCCCAATTTTTCAATTCATTTCTGAGGCTTTTTTTTTTTTCGACGCAAATTTGCTAGTTTATTTTTGTTTTGCTGTAAAAAATTTAAAAATTTTTTTATATTCGTAAATTTTTTAAGTTTTTTGATTGCGAGACTTTTAAAAAAGAAAAAATTTGGGGAAAAATTTCCCTTACTTTGGGGGGAAATGGGAAAAAATTCCCTTTCATTGGGGTCGGGGAAGAATGCCCCGTACATTTGGTATGGGAAGAATTCCCTTACATTGGGGGTCAGAGGGAAGAAAAGCCCCTTTAAATTTGGGGGCAGTGGGGAAAATGCCCTTTCATTGGGGGGTCAGTGGGAAGAATGTCCTTACATTGGTGGTCTCAAGAAAGCCCCTTACATTGGGGGTCGGTGGGAAGAATTTCCCTTACATTGGGGTCAGTGGAAAAGTCCCTTTCATTGGGAGTCAGAGGGAAGAATCCCTTACATTGGGGTCGTGGGAAAAAGTCCCTTTCATTGGTGATCAGTGGGGGAAAAATGTCCCTTTTCATTGGGGGGCAAGGGAAAATGCCCACATTGGGGTCAGGGGAAAATGTCCCCCTTTCATTGGGATCATGAAAAAAGTCCCTTACATTGGGGTCAGAGGGGAAAATCTCCTTACATTGGGGGCATGGGAAAATGTTCCTTTCATTTGGGGAAACATGGGAAGAAAGCCCTTTTTGGGGGTCATGGGGAAAATTCCCTTCATTGGGTGTCAGTGGGAAGAATGCCCCTACATTGGGGTTCATGGGGAAAATGTCCCTTACATTGGAGGTCAGTGGGAAAATCCCTTACATTGGAGGCGTGGGAAGAATTCCCTTACATTGAGGTCAGTGGAAAACTCCCTTACATTGGGGGACATGGGAAGAATGCTCCCTTACATTGGAGGGCATGGAAAATGCCCTTACTTGTGGGGCATGGGAAGAATGTCCCTTTTCATTGTGGCAGTGGGAAAATGTCCCTTACATTGGTGGGCGTGGGGAAAAATTCCCTTACATGGGGGTCAGTGGGAAGAATGTCCCTTACAATGGGGTGTCAGTGGAAGAAAGCTCCTTATCATTGGTGGACAGTGGGAAGAAAGGCCCTTACATTGGGGGTCAGTGGGAAGAATGTCCCTTACTTGGTGATCAGTGGGAAGAATGTCCCTTACATTGGTGAATCAGTGGGAAGAATGTCCTTACATTGGTGGTCAGTGGAAGAATTCCCTTAACATTGTTGGGAAGAATGTCCCTTACATTGTGTCAGTGAGTGAAAATTGGTGTCAGTGTGAGACGAATGTCCCCTTGGGAAGAAAGTCCCCATTGGGGTCAAGTGGGAAGAAATGTCCCTTATTTTGGTGGTCAGTCGGAAGAATGTCCCCTACATTGGGGTAGTCAGTGGAGGAAGAATGTCCCCCTTACATTGTGGTCGTGCTCAGTCGGGAGATCCGCCCCTTACATTGGAGGGTCAGTGGGAAAATGTCCTCATACAATTGGTGAGTCAGTGGGAAGAATGGCCCCTTACATTGAGTCAGTGTGGAAAGAATTCTCTTACATATAGGTGATCAGTGTAAGAATGCCCGTACATTGGAGTCAGTGGGAAGAGATGATGTCCCTTACATTGGAGGGTGGAAGATTTGGTCAGATGGGATGATGCAGTGGGAAGATTTGTCCCTTACATTGGTGATCAGTGGGAAGCAAAGATGTCCCTTACATTGGTGGTCAGTGGGAAGAAATGTCCCTTACATTGGTGGTCAGTAGGAAGAATGTCCTTACCACTTGGGGGTAAGTGGAAAGAATGTCCCCTATACATTGGTGGTCAGTGGGAAGAATGCTCCTTTTACATTGGGGTCAGTGGGAAGGATGTCCCTTTCATTTGGGGGTCAGAGGGATCGAATGCTCTCCTCTTACATTGGGGGTCAGTGGGAAGAATGTCCCTTACATTGGGGTCATGGGAAGAATGGTCCATTACATTGGGTGTCATTCTGAAGAATGCCCCTTACATGGTGATCGGTGGAAGAATGTCCCTTACATTGGGAAGGCAGAGGGAAGAATGGCTCCTTCATTGGGGTCAGTGGGAAGAATGTCCCTTACATTTGTGTGATCAGGTGTGCATGGAAGAATGTCCCTTACATTGTGGTCAGTGGAAGAAATGTACCCTTACATTGGGGGGTCCATGGAAAATGCTCCTTACAGTGGGTCATGGGAAGAATGTCCCTTAAACATTGGGGGGATCAGTGGAAGCTAAGTGTCCCTAACATTGTGGTCAGTGGGAAGAATAGTCCCTTACATTGGTGATCATGGGGAGAATGCACCTACATTGAGATCAGTGAGAATAATGTCCCTTACATTTGGAGGTCAGTGGAAGAATGTCCCCTTACATTGGGGGTCAGTGGGAAGAATGTCTCGTTACATGTGGTGATCAGTGGGAAGAATGTCCCTTACATGGAGATCAGTGGGAAGAATGTCCCTTACATTGGGGATCAGTGGGAGAGAATGTCCCTTACATTGGTGACAGAGGGAAGAAATGTTCCTTACAGTTGGTGGTCAGTGGGAAGAATGTCCCCATACATTTGTGGTCCAGTGGAAAATGTTCCTTACATTAACAGGGGCTGGACAGGTGGAAATCCTGAACATTGAATACAATCATCCCCCGTTCGACCACTTACTACCCCCTCCTCTTGCTGACCACTACCCCACCTCCAATGCCTCCATAGCACAGAGAGCAAAGCTGGAAGTGCTACCAAATCTTCCTTTTCTGCAGTTCCACTGACGATCAGGGCTGCTTCCCATGTGACCTCTGTACTCGGTCAGGTGATGCCAATTTTTGAATAATATTTTATTTGCTTTTTTCTTTTTTAGTAAAAGTATTTTTTTATGGAAGCACACAGGCAATGTATCCCAGACCCGGGTATAACCGGACACTTTCTTCAGTCAACCTCGTGACTAGATGCCAAATAGCTGGCATGAGCGGGATGGAATACGTCCCAGGTTTTTCATGCAGACCGGTAGCCCATATTGACGTCTCCGTGATCAAAAAGCATTAGCGTAGCCCTCGGCCCCTTGAGAGCGTTCCAGAAAGACAACACGGCGTATTTTCTTTGCAACCCTAAGCTGTCAATAAACTGGAGCGAGCTGCTGAGTGTACTGAGTGTAGGTTACACACGTCCGCCTGCTACAAATCTCTGAGTTCAGGACAAACTTTAGGCGAGAAGCCACTGGAAGGGGTCCAGGTCTGTGTGCCCTCTGCCCAGCTCCAGCCTCAATGTATTTCCTACGGTGTGTCCTGCCAAGCCAACACTCGGGCGCCCCATGGCACGCCATGGAGCCACACTGCACCGACGGCAGGGACTGACCTTAGCATCTCAGGCTACGTTGCTGACATTCGGATTCTGTGTCCATTCACCACTGTAGGTGGAAATATCTTTAGATTATGGCCTTTGTGATAAGCAGTGCCAGGACCAGGTCATCCAGTGCCCAGGGCAAAGATGCCAAAGGGTTCCCCTACCCCCCAAAATGTATGAGCTTTATGTGTCATCTAAACCCCCCCCCCCCCTAAAATATGTAAAGAACTAATCTCTACACTTACCCCCCAAGCATAAATTCCCTTTGCAAGCCCCCAAATGAAAATACCCCCTATTCCAGTGCCCCACCCCCACCCCATATTAGGTCCGGATCTAGGAGGGTGCTTGGGTGGGCTATGCACCCCCAGATTTTAGTTGTGCCCCCCTCCAGATCTCTGAGAGTGCTTCCAACTTGTCCATGATAGGCATAATTGATCTAAGGGTGCGCTCTGATGGGGACAGCTGATGTAAGGGGGCACTCTGATAGGGGTAGTTGATGTAAGGGGGCACTCTGATAGGGGTAGTTGATGTAAGGGGGCACTCTGATAGGGGTAGTTGATGTAAGGGGACACTCTCATGGAGACATTTGATGTAAGGGGCCCTCTGATAGAGATAGTTGATGCAAGGGGGCACTCTTAAGGAGATAGTTTATGTCAGGTGGCACTCTGATGGGGATAGTTGATGTAAACAGGCATTCTGATGGGAACATTTGATGTAAAGGGCACACTGATGGGGACATTTGATGTAAGGAGGCACTCTGATAGGGGTAGTTGATGTAAGGGGGCACTCTGATAGGGATAGTTGATGTAAGGGGGCACTCTGAGAGGGATAGTTAATGTAAGGGGGCACTTTAATAGGGATAGTTGATGTCAAGGGGCACTCTGATAGGGATAGTTGATGTAAGGGGGCACTCTGATGAGGATAGTTGATGTAAGGGGGCACTTTAATAGGGATAGTTAATGTCAAGGGGCACTCTGATAGGGATAGTTGATCTAAGGGGGCACTCTGATAGGGATAGTTGATGTAAGGGGGCACTCTGATAGGGATAGTTGATCTAAGGGGGCACTCTGATAGGGATAGTTGATGTAAGGGGGCACTCTGATAGGGATAGTTGATGTAAGGTAGCACTCTGATAGGGATAGTTGATCTAAAGGGGCACTCTGATAGGGATAATTGATGTAAGGGGGCACTCTGATAGGGATAGTTGATCTAAGGGGGCATTCTGATGGGGATAGTTGATGTCAGGGGGCACTCTGATAGGGATAATTGATGTAAGGTAGCACTCTGATAGGGATATTTGATCTAAGGGGGCACTCTGATAGAGATAATTGATGTAAGGGGGCACTCTGATAGGGATAGTTGATCTAAGGGGGCACTCTGATGGGGATAGTTGATGTCAGGGGGCACTCTGATAGGGATAATTGATGTAAGGTAGCACTCTGATAGGGATAATTGATGTAAGGGGGCACTCTGATAGGGATAGTTGATGTAAGGGGGCACTCTGATAGGGATAGTTGATGTAAGGGGGCACTCTGATAGGGATAGTTGATCTAAGGGGGCACTCTGATGGGGACAGTTGATGTAAGGGGGCACTGTGATAGGTATAGTTGAGGTAAGGGGTCACACTGCTAGGGATAGTTGAATAATAATAATAATAATAATAATAATAATGTCAGGGGGCACTCTGATTGGGACAGTTGATGTAAGGAAGCACTCTGTTGAGGAACTTGATGTAAGGGGGCAGTCTGAGAGGGAGTTGGATGACAACACACACAGGGGCGGACTGACAACTCATGGGGCCCCCGGGCAATAGGGGATCATGGGGCCCCTATGTCCTTGCCCAAACTCAAAAAAACCTATGAAAAAGGTACCAGGGCATCTCATGGGGCCCCCTACTGACCCTGGGCCCTCGGGCAGTGCCCGAGTTTCCAAATGGTCAGTCCGCCCCTGAACACACAGCATTTTTGTGGACCGAGTGGTGTCAGCCCTGCCCATTGCCTTTTGCTACTAGTGCTTTTACTACTGAATCCCTCCCATTGTCTGTATCTCCGGGGGTAATTGTGCTGACACATCACTTATCAAACAGATCTAACAAAATGGTATATTTTAAAGCAAACCTTCACCAATTTAAGCAGCATCCAAGATCGGTTTGATCTGATGCTTGTACAAGGCGGTAAAGTTTTGCAAACAGTAAACCGAAAATGGAAGCGATGAAGTCCTTGTTGTTGATGATCTCACAGAGAGGGAGGGACAATGTCATTTTCTCTCCCTCTATGTGTGTATTGCAGCCGATGCCGCCGGTCAGGGTTGTCCCATGGACCCCCGATGTGATGGGAGAGCCTGGGAAAGATGGCAGCGGGGGTGCGGGACACCCTTCCTCCGCAGGTAGAAGCAATCGGCGGCTGTATAGCTATTCCAATTACATCTGCATGAAAGAGCATTGCTGGCTGAAAATTGTGAAACTGGGATGATCCCCACCACTTATCACCACTTAAATGATGTCCAACCAAGAAGGTTGTATGTGTTCTGCAGATGTTTAGTGTGTTTGATATATAGTGGCCAGGTGACTGTGGTGGGGGTTGGCAGCAGTGGTTGTGGTGGGGACTGGTGTGCTATGTGTCCCTCACCTTGCGGCTCAGTCTCCATATTGGATCCTGCTGTGGTACGGAGCTGGCCTGGGAACCTGGGAGGGTAACCTTTCGCATGAGTACACGATATGGCGTCATGGTAAGACGCGGTGGGCTGGTGAAGAGCAGAACAAGTTCAGAATTCCTGATGTGGAGTTCTTATAGTGAGAGGTCAAGATGGCAGCAGCGGCGTATTTACCATGAGGAAAATAAAGCCTTTGACTAGGGTGGCAATTTTCAAGGTGGTGGGGGGCTCCCCACCTGGGGACCTGGTGAGGCTCCAATATTGAATCCGAGGTAACTGTGTGCTGCTGG